CATACATACATACATACATACATACATACATACATACGTACATACATACATACGTACATACATACATACATACATACATACATACATACATACATACATAAGTTCCTACATTCGCAGTTGCAGACATGTGGATGCAATTTGCTTTCGCAGGAGCTTCTACAAGGAAAGGTGCGATGCCATCATTCGTCCTTGCCTGGTTACTGAGTACTTGTGAAGCAGTTACACAGGTTTGCTGAGCGAACTATCAAGACTCCGGATTGATGCAAGCACCGGTCACTCTGATGTGACGGTTCTGCATTGTTTTGGCGACCGGCCGACGCTCTTCTGAGGGTTTACGGATTAAACCCTAAACCTTCAACATTAACCCCCGGCCCTCGCTCTGCACAACTTAGGCCTGAGGAGCTGGCACCTCCTGGCACCGGCACCTATGAAAGGACACCACCTTTGCTTGCTTTGGTAGCTGTGCTTTTAAGTCGATCCCAGTGTTGTTTTTTCGGCTAAACTGGTGCAACCTTCTATAGGTCAGACATGGACATGACTTGTGTCGGGCTGTGTGAGTTTGTAAGTATGAATGCTGAAGAGTAAGTATTAAACATTCGGTTATGAGTGTTTAGGGCTTTGCAACGCATCGGATTTAGGACCCGAGTGTGTAGTATGTTTTATAAGTGAACAAACGACGAAGAAACAGGCTGGTAGGGAGGCAGGTATGTAGCTAGCTAGCTACCTAGCTAGCGGGTATTTGTACGTAGGTATGTAGGTAGGTAGATAGGTNNGGTGGGTAGGTAGGTCGGTAGGTCGGTCGGTCGGTCGGTAGGTAGGTAGGTAGGTAGATAGGTAGGTAGGTGGGTAGGTAGGTCGGTAGGTAGGTCGGTATGTAGGTCATGTACAAGGATAGAATGATACAATTGGGGCATGCAGGCCTAGCCGCTCCGTTCACTGTTCATTCTCGTACAGTTTAATAGACGATGCACTCTGACAGCACCCCAAATCCCACGGAAAACTTCAATCAACTTGCTGGAAGCCGTATATTCTGGGCCAAATTTGGCGCCTGCGTTTGTGGGAGCCTTGAAGCACTCACTCATGCGGTGGGGCGGGCAAGGACACAACGAGAAGTGAAATGGACCAGAACCTATAGACTTCAGCACTTCCAGCCTCGCTCCTTCAACTGCCGAAATTCTGAACTTCTCATTTTACGGCTGGGGGCTTTAAGTATGGGTTTTAATGAGCACTCGACTACCCTTGGTGTTGGGATAGAGAGCTTGAGGTCGTTCGGCAGTTCGGGTCTTCCGACCTAGCCATGACGCAGGCATCCCTTGCGAAGATAGCCGGGCTTGCGAGGCCTCAACCCAGAGCCTTGATTCACCCCTCTCCCCCCCCCCCAAAAAAAAAAATATGCCATAGCTTCCACTTCCCAAACACCAAACCCGTGAAGAAATGCCAGCGCCCCACCCCCCCCCTCAAAAAAAAATAAAACATAGCTTCCACTTCCCAAACACCAAACCCGTGAAGAAATACCTGCGCCACCCCCCACCCCCCGCCCCCCTCCCGCAGAAAAACGCACACAGTTTCACCCTCCAAACAGTTGAACCACAGAAAAAACAATGATGCCCCCCACTCTCCCCGGCAAAACAAACACAGGTCCCCTCTCCGGACACTTGAACCGCTGAAAAAAAAGCTGTACAGCTTCCCCGGCTTCCCCCTGCAGACACTTGAACCGCGGCAAAAACATCGCAGCTGTTCCCTGTCCCCGGAAAAACGGACACAGTTTGCCCCTCCAAACATTCAAACCGCGCAAAACCGGACACAGCTCCGGGAGCTTCCTGGAGGCGCCCTCCCTCTTCATCCGCACGAAGAGAAGAGATCGATGGAGTGCAGGATGGCGTAGACTGAGCCAGCAATTGAATGCCCTAACTCAGCCCGCGAGCAAGCGACCAAGCGAGTAACAGTGTGACAGTGAAAAGGGTGGACACGGGACGAGCTGGTCGACTTTGCCGGTGACTGGTCGCACCCGGGCGTTCGAGGGCCACTGCCGACTAAACCCACCACACGAAAGACAGGCTCAGAGTCAGCCACCCAGGCCACTGTGGCCCCCTTTGCTCCGGCATTCCTGCGTCGAGTGATAATTATCGAACGAGGTCTTCATTCACAGGGTTCGGAAGGCGGCAAGGCGGGCTCTTCAGAAGTACCTTTTCCCTCGGGCCTGACTCCACCGGCTACTCCAGCATCTGGCACCTGAAAATCAAACATCACCGCCGAGCACAAAAAGGCGATGCAATGATATGCCATGCACCCCCTCTCCCCAAGAAAAAAAACAGAAGAGTCTGCGGCGGCGGCTTCTGCCACTCGCGCTGCGGCGGCTGGTTGAGGCTTCTGCAGGCCGCCAGCTGCCGTCCTAGAATCCACGTGGGTGCCCCCGCCCCTGCCCCCGAGCGCGCACTGCGAAGTTCGACTGCGAAAGAATCGAGGAGGGAACACGGCAGCAGAAGGGCTGTGTGTCGAATGGGGGGATTTGGAACGGAGGCTTCGAGCGCGAGCCTCACCAGAGATGGACACGTGGGCCGTGGGCGGCATGCATGGTGTGCAGCTGCCCCCGCCTGGGCACTGCAGGCCTTATGCTTTCGCCAAATAGTCAGCCACCAGAGCGGCATGTTGGAGAAAGTGAGAAGGTCTCTCTATACATGTGTTTTCACAAACAAATAAACAACCAACCAACCAACCAAGCAAGCAAGCAAGCAACCAACCAACCAACCAACCAACCAACCAAGCAAGCAAGCAAGCAAGCAAGCAAGCAAACAAGCAAACAAGCAAACAAGCAACCAAGCAAGCAAGCAAGCAAACAAGCAAACAAGCAAACAAGCAAACAAACAACCAAACAAGCAAACAAGCAAGCAAGCAAGCAAACAAGCAAACAAACGAGCGAACGAACGAGCGAACGAACGAACACACTCACTCACACTCACACATCCGCGCAACAAGTCGAATGTTGCCGCTGCCAAGATGCTGAGGATCTCCAGGCGATTAGTTCTCCCGCATATGGATCAAGGAGGCAGAGCGACCTTCAAATACTTTCAGCCAGCTCGAAAAGGACAGAATCGGCATGCCAGGCATAAACCTGAAAGAATCTCCCTTCTGGGAGATGCTTGGAGTGCACTGATGCGCCGAAGCTCCTCGCCTTTCGCACCGAGCATTGACCTTGCAATCCCAAACCCTCATAACCTCGAACCCTCAGCCCTCCTTTTGCAAAGATTCGCGTTCCGAACTTGGCAAGAAGGACTCCTAAATCCTCACGCCCCAAGAATGTTGGGCCGAACGTTGCCTTTAAGTTGGGGCCTGCTTTGACCGCATGTGGGGTGGCGGATAGAAACGGAGGGAGTGCCTTCTTTCGGCACAAACTCAGGGAATCCCGTGCACAAAACCGCTCACCCTTACTCCCAAAATCCCTAACCTTCGAGAAAAAAGGGCAAACAAGCGTCGCAGGGCGCCGAGTCGGGGAGCTGTAGCAGGGGCACGGGCGTGGATGACATAAGGCATCGCACTACGAAGCCCAATGCGCAATGAAGCGGTCGGAGGAGGCGGAGCGGAGGACAAGACCCCCCACCGCTGACGCACGTCGCGCAATGTGGCAGGGTGGGCGTCTTCGCCGTGCTCAATGCCGCGGATGCGCAACAGGTAGTTGCACGCGGCATGGCGCAGGACCGCTTGAAACCTTGCAACACGCCTTTTTTGCGCCTGCCATAAGTCGCTGGGGCCTTCGACACTGCGCTGCGAGCTACGGCAGCTGCCGAAGGCGCGGCCGTGGCATCGCCGGGCGCAGGCAAGCTCAAGACTCAGGATGCTTGATGTCGAATGATGTCGATTATGGCGCGCGGCGGCAATGAAAGCGCAGCCGGGCTCGACTGGCCGTTCGCAGCAATTTCGATGCATTTCGATGCGCCGTGCATCGGCGGGCGGCACATTGATATTCATGTCTGCGAGTCGGACGTTGCGGGCGACCCGCGCGAAGCGCGTCAAGCTGCCCCCGACAGCTGCATCTGCACGGCGCAAGCGGGAGTGGGAGCCGCCGCCGGCGCAGCAGAAGAACAGGGAACAGCGCGCTGGGCATGGTGACCGCGCAGGCGTAACGTCAAAGGCGCGGGCGGCGAAAGGCCCAGCTTGGGACAGCAGGAGCATGCGGTCAGCTGCGGCGGGTGCGTGATGGTGCGTGACGGGGATGGTGTCAGTGAGCTGTCACCCGGGTCAGGGCACAGGTCGCCCGCAACCTGCGCCTTGCCGACATGAATCTCCCGGTCCTCGTAGCCGATGTGCGGCGGATCGATATCGTTTGCAATGGCTTGCTGCTCTGGCACGTGGCCCAGCTGGCTGTCGATGCCATTTGATCCACTTGCTTCAGCCAAGTCCCTCGCTTCGGCGAGCCGCGGCAGGGCGCTGACTCCTGATTCGCAACACGGCGCAAGGGTCGCGACACCTACCCCGAGCTGTCGCGCTCGCCGCACTGCCGCCTGGTGGTTTTCGCTGACGAAACTGGAGGCCGCTGGGGCCATGAGCCCTCGGCCAGCCTTCTTCCGGTTCCTTGCGCAAACGCACACCGCGAGTGCGCACGCTGCCGTCAGCTCGGCTTTGCGTGCAGCGTGCGTCTCCCGCCGGAGTGGCATCATCGCCGTCGCAGCGCGCGTGAAAACAAAACGGGTGCTGATTCAAACCACCATCGTGTAACCGGGGTGCCACGAGGCGGTGCATTCATTTCCAAACCGGGTGGTGATTCACCCCACCAACGTGAAACCGAGAAACCAGACGGCTGTGCATTCATTTGCAAGCTGACTGAGAACCACCAGCGTGAAGCCGAGATGCCACGCGGCAGCGCATCCATTGCCAAGCATGAATCACATTCCACGCGGCTGTGCCTTCATTCCCAAGCGGGCGCTGTTTCGAACGACCAGCCCTGAAGCGAGGATGCCGCGCGGTTGTGCATTCATTTCGAAGCGGGCGCTGATTACAAAACCACCAGCATGAGTCATGAAGCCAAGATGTCACACGGCTGTGCACCCATTTCCAACCGAGTCTTGCGCAGCTCCCCGTGCGAACGCTGCGCATGCTGCATGCCGTCCACTGCGCATCTTGGTGCCATGCGGCTGTGCACTCATTTCCGAGCAAGCGCTGATGCAAAGCACCAACTTGGAACCGAGATACACCAAGATGATGCCACACAGTTGTGCCTTCATTCCAAAACGAGCGCTGATGAAAACCACCGGCGTGAAACCGAGATGGCATGCGGTTGCGCGTTCATTTCCTAGCGGGCTGCTGGACTCGCATGGTGAACTCCGGCGCCTTGGCTTCACGTGCCCGCCCGCTCGGTTTCACGCTGGTCGATTTAAATTTTCCTTTTTTTTACCACGCCTTTTTCAGCAGCAGGGTCCCGATCCTAGCAAAAGCACGGTCCCGTGTCAGGGCCGGCTCAGCGCAGCGGCAGGCGGCTCGGCCCGTCTGGGTCGGCGAGGTGAAGGACTTCATTCTAGGCCGGCGCATCGGGTATGTACTGGTCCCGGCATGGCCCGGGCACGATTTAATCAGCGCCCGCTTCACACTGGATGCACAGCAGCGTGACATTTCTGTTTCACGCTGGTAGCTGGAATCAGCGCCCGCTTAGACACGAATGCACAGCCTCGTCGCATCCAAATTCATGGCTGGTCGTTCGAATCAGCACCCGCTTGGGAGAAGCGCGTGGCATCTCGGTCACACGATGGCGCTCTGAACCAGCGCCCGACTGGAACTGAATACACAGCCTCATGGCATACCTCCTTGAAATGAATGCTTTGCCGTGTGGCAACTCGGTTACACGCTGGCTTGTGGTTCGCATCAGCGGGCGTTCGGACATGAATGCACAGCCGCGTGGCGTCTCGGTTTCGCGCTGGTCGTTTTTTTGTTCAATATTTTTTCCCGTCCGCCGGGAGGTGTCCCTCTGCTCCGCCTACCGACTAGACCCAGCTGCCCCAGTTGAGCGCGTAGCCTGCCGCGGTCTTACGCTAGGGCCGCGAAGGCAAGCGACTCTGGCCCGCGGGGGCGGCATGGTGGAGGATGCTGTCAAGCGGCGGGCCTTCGCCGGCCTGAGATTGCAGCGGCTGCTGCCAGGCGCCGCCCGAAGCCGTACTGGCGACTGCCTGCTGCACCGCAACGGAAAGCATGTTCCACCAACGCCTGGCCCAGCCCGCGGACGCTGCCGCGCGGACGGCGGGGATGGCAGGGGGGGCGGGGTACGCCTTCAGGCGCACCAGGTCTCGCGCAAAGCTGCGGGTCTCTTCACACTGGCGGTTTCAATCAGCACGATTTGAAAATGAATGCACAATCGCTCTGGTCAATGCGCGCTGGGGTATGAATGCAGAGCCGCACGGCATCTTGGTTTCAGCGCTGGTTGTTCGCATATGTTCGAATTAGCGTTCGCTTGGAAGTGAATGCACAACCACGTGGTATCTCGGCTTCATGCTGGTGGTCTTAATCACCGCCCGCTGTTGAAATGGATGCACAGCCGCGTGGCATCTCGGCTGCATGCTTGGTGCATCTCCGTTGCACGCTCGTCGGTTTAATCAGCACCCTCTTGGCATCTTGGTTTCCGGGCTGGTCCATCGAATCAGCGCCCGAGAATGAATGCACCGCCGCATGGCATCACGCTGGTCTCTCGAAGCAGCACCTGTGTGGAAATGAATGCACAGCATCTGATGTCCGCTTCAATTAAAATCCACAGCCGTGTAGAATCTTGGTTTCACACTGGTGGCTTTAATCAACACCCGCTGCGATATGAATGCACAGAGCCACGTTGCGTCTCCGTTTCACGATGGTGGGTTGACGTGGGTTGAATCAGCACCTGTTGTACTCAGCGCACTCTGGCATGAGTGCACAACTAAGCGCGTGGCATCTCGGATCAGCGCCCGATTGGAAATGAACGCACAGCCGCGTGTCATCTTGGTTTCAAACTGAGTGTCTCAATCCGCGCCCGCTTGCGCGGCATCGCATGGCATCTGAGCTTCATGCGGGTACACTGGTCGTTTTTGTACTCTTAATCAGCCCCGGCTTCCAACTGGATGCACAGCCGCCTGGCATCTATGCTTCACAGGATGGCTTGAATCCGCTAGCCGCTAGAGAATGAATGCCCAGCCGCGTCTGTACTCCGCCTCGCGAGTGAATGGTTGACAAACTTCTTCATCAAATCATCGAATATATTATAAATGGAATATATCAGAGAAAGCGAATATATCTCAACGGGGAAAAACCCCATGCAGAAATTATTGACAAAATCTTCAATCATAATCAAGATGCGCACACGAAGCATGGTCCTTCATTTTCACTCGGATAGGCGGCGATCTCGATCGCCCGGCAGGCCGAGCACCCCTCCCTGGTGAGAGGCATCACG